TGTTTCTCTGGGTTGAAGAATAGGGCGCAAATAGGGTTTGCGCAATTACGAATGGAACACATTTTTCATGAGCTTCAAATATGGCGAGGACAGCGAAGCCACGGTGGTAATAAACTTTCAAAACTACCATTAAACGAGCAATTTACATATATAAAAATCAAAATGTCCGTATGTATGTATGTATGTAACGCGTCAGTCACGCTTGGCGGGCTATTGCTCCGGAACGGTGCGGGCTACGGGGGTGAAATTTTGGGCGCAAGTCGGACGCGTGCATCTGTTTGTTGTATTAAATTTTGGTGGGGGTGCGCTCGGCGGTTTGCACGCGGCGGGCGCATCTTTGCGGGAATTTGGCCGCGGCCGGCGCCGGGCAGAGAGCACGTGCAGTAGGCTCAGTTTCTTCGCTTTCAAAACTGAGGGAAATCAGAGCCGGAAGGTCACTGACCTTTGGCAATGAATACCGGAACAGGGCACCGCCGGCCAAGAGGAGACGCCAAATTTATTCTGGCCATAACTCGGCCGCTACTGGGCCAATTTTAATGAAAATTGATTTATTACGCTGCACGTAATGCTGTCCCTCTGGTTCACATATATAAAAATCAAAATGTCCGTATGTATGTATGTAACGCGTCAGTCACGCTTTAACCCTATTCCTGGCGGGGGGGGGCCTCAGGAGCCCCCCCCCCTGAGGTTTTTTGGTTATTTCTCCCAAACGCGTTGAGCTAGGAAGCTCAAATTTTCTGACTTTTCCTATAAGGCTTCTACGCAACATGTCTGAAAATTTTGAGTTGATCTGACCTCAGGTCAGGTCACCAGAGGCGGTTTGGTGACCCTACCTCAGAAAAGTTTGCAATCACGCCAGAGCTAGAGTTTTTGACCGATCAATTTCTTCTCTTCAGGCTTTAGTTAGGGTACCAGTATGTGCAATTTGTATATCTCGGAATTTTGATATCGGTGACCTAAGGTCAGGTCAGTTTCGCGACCTCCCCATTATAAGTCAATGGGGGAAAAATCAACTCCCTGTTTTTACCACTAAAACGGGTCGGAATGGCCCAATATACCATACATGACTTCATATACGACCAACCTTCACTACCTTGAGGTCTGTTTTGCTGTTGGGCAGCTGTGAGGTCATGTGACGTCATCAAAGGTCACCAAAGGTTTTTGGCCAATAACTCCGTACAGGAACAAGATACAGACGCGTGGATGGTCTCATTGTGTTCAGCTCGTCAAGACGCATCGAATGATATACATGATGACCTCGAGGTCACGTGACCTGAGGTCAACCTTTGACCTTGACCTTTCGAGGTCAACATATATATCATTCGATGCGGATTGACGAGAGGATCACGATGATGCCCTTAGTTTGTTCCTATCTTGACTAATTCGAAAGTTATTTGAGAAAAACTCTCTCCGTATCTAGCGCCGCCATTTTGACTTTTTCGACCCCTGTGACGTCATCTTTGACCTGACCTGAAAATGACCTTAGTAAAAATTGTAGACCTTGTCCATGCGTATCCGATGCCGTTTACCGCTTGTCGCTATCTTGCTTCGTTCTCGAGATCTCAGGGGGGGCCGAATCGGCCCCCCCCCCGCCAGTTTCTTGTCCCGGCGGAGCCCGCCAGGAATAGGGTTAAGGGCTATTGCTCCGGAACGGTGCGGGCTACGGGGGTGAAATTTTGGACTTAAGTCAGACGCGTGCATCTGTTTGTTGTATTAAATTTTGGAAGAGGTGCGCTCGGCGGTTTGCACGTGGCGGGCGCATCTTTGCGGGATTTTGGCCGCGGCCGGCTTCGAGCAGACGGCACGTGCCGTAGGCTCAGATTGTTCGCTGCGAGAATGAGGGAAATCAGAGCCGGAAGGTCACTGACCTTTGCCAATGAATACCGGAACAGAGCACCGCCGGCCAGGAGGAGACGCCAAATTTATTCTGGCCATAACTCGGCCGCTACTGGGCCGATTTTAAAGAAAATTAATTTATTACGCTGCGCGTAATGCTGGACACCTAGTCACTTATATAAAAATCAAAACGTCTGTACGTTTGTATGTATGTATGTATGTAACGCGTCAGTCACGCTTTAAGGGCTATTGCTCCGGAACGGTGCGGGCTACGGGGGTGAAATTTTGTACTTAAGTCGGACGCGTGCATCTGTTTGTCGTATTAAATTTTGGTGGGGGTGCGCTCAGCGGTTTGCACGTGGCGGGCGCATCTTTGCGGCATTTTGGGCCGCGGCCGGCGACGATCAGACGGCACGCGCCTTAGGCTCAGTTTCTTCGCTTTCAAAACTGAGGGAAATCAGAGCCGGAAGGTCACTGACCTTTGGCAATGAATACCGGAACAGAGCACCGCCGGCCAGGAGGAGACGCCAAATTTATTCTGGCCATAACTCGGCCGCTACTGGGCCGATTTTAATGAAAATAGATTTATTACGCTGCGCGTAATGCTCGGCACCTAGTTTACATATATAAAAATCAAAACGTCTGTACGTATGTATGTATGTATGTATGTATGTATGTAACGCGTCAGTCACGCTTGGCGGGCTATTGCTCCGGAACGGTGCGGGCTACGGGGGTGAAATTTTGGACATAAGTCAGACGCGTGCATCTGTTTGTCGTATTAAATTTTGGTGGGGGTGTGTGCGGTGGTTTGCACGTGGCGGGCGCATCTTTGCGGGATTTTGGGCCGCGGCCGGCGCCGATCAGAGAGCACGCGCCTTAGGCTCAGTTTCTTCGCTTTCAAAACTGAGCGAAATCAGAGCCGGCAGGTCACTGACCTTTGGCAATGAATACCGGAACAGAGCACCGCCGGCCAAGAGGAGACGCCAAATTTATTCTGGCCATAACTCGGCCGCTACTCGGCCGATTTTAATGAAACTTGATTTATTACGCTGCGCGTAATGCTGTCCCTCTTTACGCTGCGCGTAATGCTGTCCCTCTAGTTTACATATATAAAAATCAAAACGTCTGTACGTATGTATGTATGTATGTATGTAACGCGTCAGTCACGCTTGGCGGGCTATTGCTCCGGAACGGTGCGGGCTACGGGGGTGAAATTTTGGACTTAAGTCGGACGCGTGCATCTGTTTATCGTGTTAAATTTTGGTGGGGGTGGGTTCGGTAGTTTGCACGTGGCGGGTGCATCTTTGCCGCATTTTGGGCCGCGGCCGGCGCCGAGCAGACGGCACGCGCCTTAGGCTCAGTTTCTTCGCTTGCCAAACTGAGCAAAATCAGAGCCGGAAGGTCATTGACCTTTGACAATGAATACCGGAACAGATCACCGCCGGCCAGGAGGAGACGCCAAATTTATTCTGGCAATATAACTCGGCCGCTACTGGGCCGATTTTAATGAAAATTGATTCATTACGCTGCGCGTAATGCTGGACACCTAGTTAACAATTATTTTTAGTTGAATCACTTCACATCTCTAAGATAAACCATGACACTAGCAAAGGTCGAAATAGACTGTTTCGCGTAAGAAAATAGAGGAAATCACAAAAAAATGGTCTGCGAGAAAGCTGAGACACCTCACCTGCCCCCGTGGACCGGAATAAGAGCGAGTTATTGGTGGTGAAGTAAATGCATACATTTGAGTATTCATTCGAATCGAATTTTGGACAGGAGGAAGGTGTGGCGCATTTAACCCGCGCCCCGTAGGGGGGGGGGCCGAAACGGCCCCCCCTGTCCTTTTCGGTCGATATCTCCTAAACGGCTGGAGATATCGCCACCAAACTTTCAGGACCCCTCCGGGCATCAATTTTACACATTGTGACTAAAAATTTTCCAGAGGCTATGATAGGTTGGCCACAAATGACGTCAGAGTGACGTCATGTTCTGTCATTTTCGACCGAAAAAAGACCTTCGCGAGAAGACCTGTCAGGACTACAGCTTTGAAGATACAGAAAAATGATCAAGACATAAAAGGTGTAGAACTGACAAGGCTACAAAACTGCTATCTCGAATTTTTGAAATTTTTGAGTTTTGACCCCCAAAAATCAAAAAAGCATTTTTTGGATATATTCGCCAAAAAATCCAAAAAGTTTTTTGAGTTTCGAAAAAAACGGAATATATGTGATAGTGCCTACCGTCTTCTATCTACATACCAAACTTCAGATCGATACCTCGTTTTTTGGCCAAGTTATAGCGAAAAAACTTCAAAAATGATGACGTCAAATTTTCAAACTCAATTTTTGGCAATTCTAGAACTCGTAGAGCAAAACAAAGACCACCATTAGACTCCCCGTGACGAGCTGCATCGAATCGATACCCATTTTATGCAAAAATATCAACTTTAAAATTTGACCTAATTTGACCTGACCTTGACCTGACCTTCACCAAAACGTGACCTAGGCTGGCCCCAAAGGCTGCCTAATCCACATAATCGCATTTGTCATGTAAAATGGACCATAAAACATGTATCACACGACACATTCATATTGTGACCCCCGGTGACCTGACCTCGCTGTGACCTGACCTGGTATCAGTGACCTCAGATAGCAAAGTATGTGTTTGACGAACAATGCACCATCGATGGTTTTCAATAAATTACCAATTTATTCGCTTTCACAGCACATTTCTTGAATTGCCTGTGAACGGTGAAATTCTGACCTTTGACCTGACCTGTGACGTCATCGGTTTGACCTAGGTCAATGAAATTTGGTCACAAGGTAGTTCCCGGGTGGGGCTATCGAACGCCGTTTGAATTTTGAAAATCGGCCGGTAACTTTCCGAGATCTTAGGGGGGGGGCCGAAACGGCCCCCCCCCCTACGGGTGGTAGGGTCCGCCGGTAGCCCTACGGGGCGCGGGTTAAGAACATGGCGCAATATGACCTCTCTCCCCTACTGCGTTTTGTGATGAAATTCCGCTACGCTAGCGAAGGGATTCTCATTCATTTGGTATGAATGTCGAGTTGTGCGGTGTCATGGCCGAAATTACGAATCAATCGCGACAATCCTTGCCTATCACTACTTCCTTCCAATGCCGGGTAGCATTTCACACGCCAATGTGGTTGTCTCAGCTGTTTTATTTATTATTTCGATAACACACAGTCAGCCTCGTGTGCATATTTACATCGATTCGTTCCTATTGTTTCTAAATATTACGAAAATATTCGCACGCTTTGTATCACCTTGTCATGGTCTGCAACGAATTACGGGAAATATTCGAAGTAAGGACTGCGAGCCCGTTCCACTGAATTCTGATCGTCGTCCTGTGAATGAAGCTATTGGCGTCCCACACTGCAAACAAACGTCATCCTACATAGCTCCTGAACACTTTTCGCCTCCCACGCGCTGCACATTGTCCCGACATGGACTAATCCGAGTCCGGGAGAACTAGGTCGATCGCGTCCGTTCAGGTCTGACTGGATCAAACCACGTCAGACTGAGGAGACTGACCGGACCGGACTGGGTTTACGAGCTCAGCGCAGGCCTGACTGGCCGAAATTAATAATGTCACGGCTATTTACACAAGGTTTGTGCCTTGGCCAGAAAATACCACTTGTTACATACCGACCGCGCATGATTATTATCTGGCACGCAGACGTTATGTTATGGAGATCGCGGTGACTATATGATGGAGATCACCGCCGCCTCGGCCGATCAATAGCACCAATCCACCCACTGACCGGCCCACACACAGGCTGGTCAGTGGCGCTTTTCTCCTCCCGGCGAGAGCCCGCGCCGTTTGTCATCAGGCCTGGCACTTGGGCCGCGCTATGCTCTTACGTTCTCGATAAACACTCGCTCCCCGGATGACGTCGTCGCGAAAGGCACCAGATGCAGGATTGTCCCACTTCTCGTTTCCAAAGCCAGCACCTGACGACAATCGAAACATGCAAGATTGCATTTTTGTAGTAGGTAGCTAAGCAACAAACACTAAAAGATGACAGGATCTCATGAGTTCAAATTAACGCATTGAATTACAAAAATGGCATTTTGCACTCCGTTTACATTGCACACGCATTTATAACAATGACTTGCGATGGGTATAGGTTCGTCCCCAATGACTCCTCCTTACCTCATCATCTCCGACCGGCATCTGCTGGGTCCTTCTGACGCGCGGCATCACCTTCATCGTTCCCGTGTCAGTGAAGAACTGGGCGTCGATTCGGGCCAGCTGAACCAGCAGCAGGCACAGGATCAGTACTGGAACGGAACCAGACCGAACATCAGCAGACAGTGGATCAGCACGTTGGAACGAAGGCCGACCGAATTTCAGTCACTCGGAACACCCGCAGACATAAGACTAACGTTCGAACGAAAGCCCACCAAAAAGAGCATGAACATGGATCAGCATTGGAAGAGAAACAGACCGAAAACTGGCAGGCATAGGGCCAACACTGAAACGGAAACAGACTGAAAACTAGTAGGCATGTGACTGAACGGAAACATACAGAAATGAAGCAGACCCACAATAAGCGGCGTCGCGGGCACGGGCTTCATTCAGGTAATTGGACTTTGGATAAAGAGCAGATCGATGAGCATGAGGTGGTGACTTACACAAAATGATAATGAAGCATTGCCGTTAAGTGGTATTGCTCTCTAAATCCACTTAATTTACTCATGTTAACGAGAGCGAATTCATGTTTGTCGCTGGTAGGCGTGACAATGCTAGATATAAATAATCCTCTCAATCAATCGCCCTAAGCGGATTAGTCAACAAAGCACATTTACCGATATTTAACCCGCGCCCCACGGGAGAGGGCTATTCATAGCCCCCCTCCCGTTTTTCTGCAATAACCTTTAAACCGCTTGACATATTGCCGCCAAACTTTCAGTACCTTCGGCTGCATCAATTTGACACCTTGTGTCAAAATTTGAACTTCGTATCTATCATAGGTCATCCGGAAATGACGTCAGAGTGACGTCATGTTCGGCCGATTTCGACGCAAAACATTGAACCACGGGAATCACTCCCAAGAGCTCAGTTTTTTAGCTAGATCCGATTTATTTGCATAAGAGGACTCAAAATAGACTGCGCTATCAAACTGCTATCTCAAATTTTCAAAATTTTTCAACATTTTGAAAATTATATATATATTAAAATTCAAAAATTGTAGTTTTATTTTTTTCAAAAAAAAATTTACATAAAAAAACGGAATAAATATGATAGAAAACATGTTTATAACTTACTCTAGCAAGTTTTAGCTAGGTATCCTCAAAAATGGCCAAGCTATACGCATCATAGCAAAAATTTCACAGTTTCAAATTTTCAAATCAATCTTTATATACGAATTTGATGTCGTACACCAGTATAAATAGCACCATCGTGTTCCTGAGCTCAAACTGCATCCGTGATCCGATAGACATGTTTTTTGTTGAAAAAATTCAACTTCAAAATTTGACCTTTTTTTACCTGAAATTGGGACCTGACCTGAACTATATTCAGATGAAAATGGCCTCAAAAGACACAGGCGACACCGAATTCGAAATCTATGGCCCAAATGGAACATAAAACATGTGTCACGTGACCGACTTATGACATAAGATTTCCGTGAACTATGATGACCTGACCCTGACCTGAAAATCAAAGTACAGGTTTGGTACCCTCAGGGTATCTAAAGCATCTGTTCACGAGTGTGTAAACCAAAAATCAGCCTGATCTGACTTATAAGACGGCAGCCAGAGCCCAAAATATGAACAAGCCAAACATCGATAATTTTTACTTTGACCTGACCTGTGACGTCATCGGTGACCTCGAGGTCCATAGAATTAGGTTTCGCTCGACAGTTTTTCCGGGGCTATCAGACGCCGTTTGAATTTTGACAACCAGCCCAGTAGTTTCGGAGTCAGCTATAGGGTAAGGTGCCTAATTAGCGACCCTTTCCGATTTGCGACCTACCTCCCTACAGAAAAACTGGCAAGAGAAAACGGGGTAAAAACATCGTCAAAAGGTCAGCCAAACTTTGGTTATCAAATTAAATTACTTTCCGGTCGTCGATGTTTCTTGTGGGACGTTTCAGGTGAGTTTAAATAAAAATGACTAGTTTCTTATCCAAAATGTGTGTGTTTGGGCCCTCTCTGATGAAAAGCGATGCACATTAGGATGATGCACCCTTTTTATTCTGAATCGACATTCCTTTTTCAATGGATTGCCATTTTCCCATAGTGAATCGCTCAACTGTGCACAGCATGGCGGTTAAAAATGTGTCGCATCTCATATTTGCTATTTGCGCCTGACATGGTCGCAAACAGCTCAAGAAGGGAAAGAAAGGGGAAAAGAGAGAAATGAAAATGAGGTGTTGCTGAAGCTTGCAATGTGTGGCAGGGGATGCCAAATGTCGTCACCGACTGCGGGGGTGCCGAATTCAGCGCGGACCTCGAATATCCTACGAGATAGACCGCAAAATTTGGGTTTCCGCCTTCTTTTCGCCTTCGGTGCATTACGTGATCAGTTTTTACTTACGCAAATGTGTTGGATAAACGTCCCTGTTCGAGTGATTGAGTGCTTTGCGTAGTAGGTTACCTTTTTGAGATCATATTTTATCTTTTCAGGCGTCGCATTTTTTGCCATTTTTAATATGGGGAAACCCATAGACTTATTAGCGACCCTCCCCGGTCGCTAATCGGGAAGAGTTCCCTATTAGTGTTTTTTGCAATGGTTTGCCAAAATGCTCACTACAAATAAGTTAGTGAATATTGGGGCAGAAAATGACTATATTTTAATAGAAAAATGAACGATCTCTCCGAAAATCAAGCCAGTAATACAGTGGCACCCACAGAGCGTGAGCAATGACGGTTCAAATTAAGGGGGTCGCTAATTAGGCACCTTACCCTACTATAGCTCAGCCAGTGGCGTAGACAGGGGGGGCCATGGGGGCCATGGCCCCCCCTTTCCGCCCAGCCGCCCAAATGGCGCCCCAACAAGATATCTTGGCTCGCTCCGCGTCGCTTTGGCCATAAAAAGATTCGGGAGAAAATTTGGGATCGAATGGTGTTTTTCCGGTGACGATCGGACGTCTAGAAGCTTCGATATTGGCGAAAAACTTGCTGAACTTGCAAAAGTACTTGGTACTTGCTTGGTACTTGCCAAAGTACTCGGTACTTGCTAAAGTACTTGGTACTTGCTTGGTATTTGCATAAGTACTCGGTATTTGCCAAAGTACTTGGTACTTGCTTGGTATTTCCATAAGTACTTGGTACTTGCTTGGTACTTGTAAAAGTACTTGGTACTTGCTTGGTACTTGCGAAAGTACTTGGTACTTGCACTCGCCCCCCCCCGTTCCCCCGACTCTACTCCCACACCTACCCCCTCGGGATAATTCCGGGTTCGTCGGGTAGGAAAACTTGCCACTCTACTCCCCCCCCCCACAGAGCCATTTGGTATCGATCGGTGTTGATCCCGTGTCAATCGGTCGTCAATAAGCCGAGATATGCACGGCGAATTATTTCAATCGGCGTCGATCAGAATCTTCAGAACGGAGGGACCCACACTCATTTCTGGCCGTATCTCACTTTTCCGAGATGTACGTCAAACTACCTATTTGAAACTACATATTCTACAGCCGAATCTTCAAACTGGGGGTACCTCAGACCGTGGGAACGACTCGGCTCAGCACTGCCGCACGCGCATTCAGCGGCGGCTTGTCGATTTTTCGAGTGTCGGCTGCCGATCTCCCGAGAGCCGGCCACCTGTCAGCCGCCGCTCGGCTCTGTGTTAAGCATATGGGGACGGCGAATTTCTCCCGGAGGGAAGCACCTCGCTCACAAAAGCACGTGAATCAGCCGCATTCCTGGTCATCGTCTAATGCTGAAGAGATATGTGTGCACGCAGATATCTCGCAAGCCCTAACAGGAAAAGCTCGCTGCGAAAACTGAGCGTTTCAAAAAACCCGCAATCCTACTCAAATGGTATATTATACAAGATATCTTGGCTCGCTCCGCGTCGCGTTGGCCATAAAATGATTAAGGAGAAAATTTGGGATCGAATGGTGTTTTTTCCGGTGACAATCGGACGTCTAGAAGCTTCGATATCGGCGAAAAACTTGCTGAACTTTCAAAAGTACTTGGTACTTGCTTGGTACTTGCCAAAGTACTCGGTACTTGCCAAAGTACTTGGTACTTGCTTGGTATTTGCATAAGTACTCGGTATTTGCTAAAGTACTTGGTACTTGCTTGGTACTTGTAAAAGTACTTGGTACTTGCTTGGTACTTGCGAAAGTACTTGGTACTTGCACTCGCCCCCCCCCCGTTCCCCCGACTCTACTCGCACCCCTACCCCCTCGGGATAATTCCGGGTTCGTCGGGTAGGAAAACTTGCCACTCTATCCCCCCCCCCCCCAGAGCCATTTGGTATCGATCGGTGTTTGTCCCGTGTCAATCGGTCGTCAATAAGCCGAGATATGCATGCACGGCGAATTATTTCAATCGGCGCCGATCAGAATCTTCAGGACGGAGGAACCCACACTCATTCCTGGCCGTATCTCACTTTTCCGAGATCTACGTCAAACTACGTATTTAAAACTACATATTCTACAGCCGAATCTTCCAACTGGGGGTACCTCACTCACAATCGCACGTGAATTCAGCCGCATTCCATGTCACGCGCAATGCTGAAGAGATATGTGTGCACGCAGATATCTCGCAAGCCCTAAGAGAAAAAGCTCGCTGCAAAAACTGAGCAATTCAAAAAACCCGAAATCCTAGTCAAATAGATAATTAAACAAGATATCTTGGCTCGCTCCGCGTCGCGTTGGCCATAAAAAGATGTAGGAGAAAATTTGGGATCGAATGGTGTTTTTCCGGTGACGATCGGACGTCTAGAAGCTTCGATATTGGGGAAAAACTTGGTGAACTTGCAAAAGTACTTGGTACTTGCTTGGTACTTGCCAAAGTACTCGGTACTTGCCAAAGTACTTGGTACTTGCTTGGTATTTGCATAAGTACTCGGTATTTGCCAAAGTACTTGGTACTTGCTTGGTATTTGCAAAAGTACTTGGTACTTGCTTGGTACTTGTAAAAGTACTTGGTACTTGCGAAAGTACTTGGTACTTGCTTGGTACTTGTACTCGCCCCCCCCCCTTGTTCCCCCGACTCTACTCCCACCCCTACCTCCTCGGGATAATTCCGGGTTCGTCGGGTAGGAAAACTTGCCACTCTATCCCCCCCCCCCCCAGAGCCATTTGGTATCGATCGGTGTTTGTCCC